AGTAAATCAATAAAATTGTAACAAAAAAAAAAAATAAAAACAAATCAGTAAGATAACCTACATATATATTGAAATAAGGATAAATTATTATAAAAGAATTTATTTATTTTTGCATTCCCATCAAATCTAGGAGCTTAAGAAGAAGAGAGTTTGTTGCCGTGAAAGAAAAATATCTTCAATATTTTCGTAGTACTGAAAACTCATTATATTTTTTACTAAATTTAGATAGAAATAATATAACTGGCTTTTACCATTTTATCCACTTTTTTATAATTATTTTAACTTGAGTCTCACTTTTTCTTATTTTTAATAAATGAGTAAATACTCTTATAGTATTAAAGATATACTCGGAGTAAGAAATAAAAACGAATTGCTTTGTGAACAAATAGATGGAAAAACAAATTGCGCTTAAAAAATAGATCAATCAAGTATGACTAATAAAAAAGAATTAAGGATGTTATCAAAAAAAAAAAAAAAATTAAGGAGATAATAGATTTGTCATTCATCATATCAAAAGCCTTTTAAAAAATGACATTTTCTAGTAGTGTAAATATTCTATCCACAAATAAAGATGTAAATGGATCGAGCGGCTTGTTAAGAGCCCAAAACTTTGCTTACTTTAATTTTAACTTGGCTTAACTTATTTAATAAATAGGGTGAATTCAAACTTTAAAAAAAAAAAACTTATATAGCAAAAGAAGCACAAACTTAATTAATTTAATGAGACTTGACTTGAAAGTCCGTGAGTTAGCTTGATATATTATTATAGTTAGTGATATATTTTTTATTATAATAAATAAAATATAAATAATATATTTTACCATAAAAGATGTAATTATATGTGGATTGAATGTGTTCTATAATTATTTTTTCTCCGGAAATACAAAATTTGATGCATTTATAGTTTCAACATTTGGACCAAGGTGAATTTAGAAAAAATACATTTTATAATTATAAATGAGTCAAGTGAAGCCTTTAATTTTTCATAAACAAGTCAAGTCAAACTTAGAATTTAACTCGGATTAGGCTAATGGTTAAATCAACCTCAAAATATTTTGTATATAGACTTGATTCATTTGAGTTAAAACTTGGCTAAACTCAGGTCATTTACATCCCCATCAACAAATCATGACCAAATTATATCAGAAAAAAAACCTATGCATATGAAAAAGAATAATGCATGGAATTGTTTCAAATTCAATTTTGAAATTCAGAAAAATCGGTAGAAGACACTTTTTCAATAAGAGAGAATGCGAATCAGCAGATAACGTTTTTGAAGGGTAAAATTTTATTGAGGAAAGTGAAGCCTATCAAAACTCTTCAAGAAACTATCCTAAAATTATATACATTATTAACTTAGAATTTAGAATTTGTTGTCAAGTAGGGATTTGTCCAAAGTCATAATCCAACAATATTGTGTCTCTTAATTATTTGACATAAAAAGTATAAAATAAAATAAAAAATCTGTAATATTTTCGGAATTCTTAAAAAGATTAAAAATTTAAATATTTTTCTTACCTACATACTCTTGACACACACATTTCTATCAGAGATGTTCATCAACCGATCCAAACCGATTCAAACTGCGGTGACCGAACCAAAAAATCGATAACGGAATAAACTGAAAATCAAAAATCAAAAAAAACCGCAAATTTAATTGGATTGGATCGATTTTTGGATGAGTTGATGAAAATCGATCCAATATATTAATTTTCCTCTACCTAATGGGTCTTTCCCTAATCATAGCCTAAAAATTTCTAAACCCAAGACCCGTGAACCCATCAACTAAACCCAAGAAAAAATCTAGTCACATCTCATCAACAAAATTTTGTCTTTCTAGAGCTTCATATCTCATTGCAAAAAAAAAAACTATATTATAGTTTACTAATGCTTTTGTATTTCAAAAATAAAATAAAATTACAAAGTCAATATATACAAAAGATGTTATTTACACAATAATTATGAAATAAATTTTAGGATTTAAAAAAAATCGAAAATCGATCCAATACAAACTGAAAAAATTGGATAGGATCGGATTTAAAAAAAATTCAAACCGAATGGATAATTATATGATCAAACCGAAGGAATTGAATCAAATGATTTTTGCTTTCAAGACTGATCCAATCCAGATCACGAGCACTCCTAATTCCTATGCTATAAAGAGAGCATCGAGATTTGGAACATAAATACAAGACGATATTAATAAATAAACTAATATGATATTAACATAAAAACACGACTTTTAAATTACAATTAAGACATTAATATTCCATAAATTAGCTTTAAACATTATAAACCCGATAAAATATTAAACATTGCAAACACGATGAAATACTATCATTATTCTATTATTACGGTGTATCGTTTATTGGTAATTTTTGTTTTTTGAAAGATAGAACTTAATAATATCCAAAATTATCTAATATATTCTGGAGTTATTGATCCGACCTCCTCAAAGAGTAATGAGTTTGATTTCTAAGAATCTCAACTCACGAAAAGAATGAAAATACTCAAATCCAAAATCAAAATAAACAGACCCCTTTGGGTTTCGAATACTAATTGATACGTATTTTAGAAAAAGTATCAAATACATATTGCATCAAATATTAGTACAACAATCGTATTTAGGTATAAATGTTTCGTAACTCATATTTATGAACACAACACGATATTAATAAATAAACTAATATGATATTAACATAAAAACACGAATTTTAAATTATAATTAAGACATTAATTTTCCATAAATTAGCTTTAAACATTAAAAACCCGATAAAATAGGTTATTCATGTCACCAGTAACCGCCGCACACCTGCTTAAGCTCATTATTATTAGAACGTACGGTTGACAGAAGAAAACAAAAGAAATATAAATCAGTGCCCGATCTGTGTTTGGAACTTTGCTGTAAAAAACGTTGCAATCTTTTCTGGCATTTTTTAATCTAATAAATCATGTCACCAAAGACAGCCTTGTCCTAAACACTTGAGTTGCATCAATGAGAGCACAAACAAAACCCAGAGAACAACACCATATTAATTATGTGCGATGCCATGCTGCAGTAACTACCTTTTCACAATATCCTGGTCCCTACAGGACATTGCTTAAAACGAAACCTCTGCTTCTTGGGACGAAAGCCTTGTGAAAATAATTGATTCCACGTTAAAGAGATCAAAATACGACCAAAAGACACCACTATGTACAAATGTTGCACTACATAATCCCACCCTTGTTTAGATGCTAATTCCACCTCTCTCTACTATAAATATAGTTTACATCGAGAAATTTTATGACTTCAGATCAAAAGCGTATTCAAAATATATTATTTTATTTTTGTGTTGGTCGAGAAAAAACGTATTCAAATTATATTTTAATAAAAAAAAATAGTTGATTGAATGCGTAATTAATGAACGAGTTGTTAAGATTAAAGATTTTGACTTTTAAAAGAAGTTAATCAATGAAATTATTATAACAAATACAAATAATTAAAATAAACCCTACATATAAAACGGAACCAATAGTTCCCATGTAAGTATGTAACTAAGAATAAAGACAAGAAGCATGTCATATGCATGTTTTATAGTTTGGGAAGTCTTTCCTAAGAAGACAAAATAATCCAGCGCACCCTTAAGGCAAATATAGGGTTTTTTTAATAAAAGGAAAGCTTAATGGAATTTAGTATAATATTTTATATTGAGTGGTTAGATAAGTATTTAATTTAATTATTTAAAACTAAATGATTATATTAATTAAATAATAATTAGTTCATTCAACATATGCACTTTCTTATAAGAAAAATATAATATTTAATTCGAGAAGAGGGTATATATGATCTGTTAAAAAAAAGGAGATGATAAACAGGATATCTTATTCAACTCTGTCAACTTGATGCCTTACTAAAGTATGCATCTTAGTCCCGCTAATGTGAATGAATATTCCTATATAAAAATATAAAAATGTTAAATATTAGAAAAGTAATGTCCAAAAAAAGAAAAGTAATCCCTAGATTTATTATAAAAGCGGTTGTAAATTGTAATGACTTAAACTAGTATTTTGCTTCTACCTCCTTTTATTTTTCTCTCTTTATTAATGGCATGTTTGGTGCATAGTATAGGATAAGGCCTGATTGAATTTTAATCCTATATAGTGTTTAGCACGATATTGTATAAAATAATATCATATAGTATTTGATAATGCACTCTATAATACTATATATGATAAAAATAAATATTTTTAATAAAAATATCCTTTAATAAAAAATTTATATAATTCTTCAAAAAATGCATATGATATTAATTTTTCTAAAAGTTTATTAATCAGTGTGTCCAAAATATAAATTAATTTTTATAAAAATAAAAATATTCAATATTTTAAAAATTAATATATTGAAAAATTAATTTTTATTTTAATAGATTAATATTAAAATAATATATTAATTTTTGAGAATTACATTAGTCAACGATGTTAATACATCAATATCTTATTAGACCTTATCCCTCACCCTTAGGCCGTATTAAGTTGTACATCATTTTGATTTATTAAGAAATTATGCTGTATAAGCTTATACTATACGATGGTTACACTAAATAACTGAAAATATCATATAGTATAAATTTATACTATCATACCTTATTCATCACACCACCAAACATAGTTTAATACCACCATATATATATATATATATCATGCTTCTCCTAATAAGATTCACCAAAAGTGTTGCTTCGAAAATATGAAAACGGTAATATCGAAGACAGAGAATGGCAAATCTGGATATTCCGCTAACGAGGGAAAAACGGAGAAAGAGAATGAATGAAAAAGAAGAGCACAAGTCAAAGTTGTTCTTAACCTCAAAATCTGTCATAAACGGTAAAAAAGATCGCCGAGATAACGTGACAAATCCGAAATTTCTCAACGTGTTCAAGGGCAAATCTGTCTTTGTGCTCACCCTATAAAAGAATCAATACCGGTCCTCCTTCCAACAACACATCCTAATTCCAAACTAGTGCGGAGCCGCCGTGTGTCTCTTTCTCTCTTCTCTGCACTTTTCCGGTGACTTTCGCCGGAAAACCATTTTTCCGCAACCGCCGGCGACTTACTTGTCTTCGCCGGGGCGAAATCGTATATTCGAAAGCTTGTTCCTTTCTATTAGGTTGCAAATAGAGTTTCAGACCACTGCGTGCATGTTAAAACGGCGACGTTTTGTTACGATAAGTAATCGGAAGGGAGTGGGGAAGCGGCATCGTACGATGTAGTTAGTTTGATTGATCGGGGATATGGGAAGAGTGGTTGTCGGAGTGGCGGTGACGGTGGCGGTGGCGGCTTGTGCGGTGGCGGCGGTGGTGGTGGGGCGAAGAGTGAAGAGCAGAAGGAAGTGGAAGAAAGTGACGAATGTGTTAAGAGAACTGGAGGAAGGGTGTGACACGACGGTTGGGAGGCTGAGGCAGGTGGTGGATGCCATGGCTGTGGAGATGCACGCTGGTTTGGCATCCGAAGGTGGTTCCAAGCTCAAAATGCTTCTCACATTCGTCGATAAACTCCCTAATGGGTAATCGTTTTGTTCTTTGTCTTTCTTTTTGCGCCATTTCGTTCTAACTACTTTGCCCCTTTCGTGTCCTTAACTGTGCCATTGAATTAAGTTTCCTTTTTTTATTTTATTCATTTGATGGGGGGTATACTACGCGGTGTTGCTGATGGAATTTGATTATGTTGTTGCTTGGAAAATGCTGAGCAATTGGTCTCTTGATTCCTCCTTTATGGAAATGAACGTTTTCCGTGCCCATTATTTTGATTCTTTGGTTCAAACATGTCACGTCCCTGCTTTTTCCCGAGCTTTCCCTATTTTTTGGCGTGTTTTGTTTTTGTGTACTAGTAATATCTATGTACTGCTGTGTTTATAGTCTAATCACTACAAGTTATTGTTTTTTTTGCTGTTCCCTCTCCTATTATACATATTTCATCACCTATGAACCTTTATTTCTGGTGTAAATTGTTTTGAAGTATGTGTGAATGGCATTTTTTGAATTGGGAATTTTGTTTATACGAACATTAACTTTTCTCAACGTCCAATTAATGGGTTATGTGCTATGCTGTTTGAAAAATCGACATTGTGATGTATGATTCGTGTTTATACTTCAGATAATTTGAAAGCTGTCAGAATGACAAAGAATAAGGGTTGAAATTGACAATTTTTATTATTTGAAAAAAGAAGATACGGGAAGATAACACTCACGAAGAATGACACTAGCTCATAGAGCTCCAAAGACAAGATAAAACTCACAAAGGAAGATACTTGCCCTTTACAATGAGATCACTCTAACTCATTAGAAGATAGCTATATAATTTTCTGTCCATTCTCCTTACTGAGTCCTCTATTTATGTACTCTTATTGACTCCTTGCTGTCTCAAATCAGTCTCATTTTTCCGTAATTACCTCCTGTCGTAATATGCCATTATTAGGTCGATTTGCTTTCTGGTAACGGATCCTTATTTTGGCCTCTCCCCCTCCTTCATTTCATACTACCCGTTCCCGTTCCCTCATTAAAGCCTTTTGTCCCCTTATCATTCAAATCATCCCTATCAGAGTGATTAGTAGAATCTGTAGGTTCTTGTTGTGTAATTTCATTTATTCCTATTTTGAGCGTTACCGGGTGAAAAGATTCACACATTGGGTCTGGTGATGCTACAGTGAGCAGGCCTTTAAATTACCACCCTCACTTTCTTTAGTAAGAGATGGTGATGCTTTCATGTTATCCATATGCTTGAGAGCATAACTTTTATTCTGATTATAGAGTCGTATTGTTGAATGGACTTGTTTCTATACTTTTATTTGGGGATTGTATGGGTCTAATTGAATAAAAAACTGTTATGTTTATATATTTTTCTTTTACCACCCTCTTTTCATTAACTATCCATTCCCTCATTAAAGCCTTTGTCCCCTTATCATTCAAATCATCCCTATCAGAGTGATTTGTGGAATCTATAGGTTCTTATTGTGTAATTTCATTTATTCCTATTTTGAGCGTTACCGGGTCAAAAGATTCACCCATTGGATCTGGAGATGCTACATTGAGTGCACATTTTAATTACCACCATCTTTTTCTTTAGTAAGAGATGGTGATGCTTTCATGTTATCCATATGCGTGAGCTTAACTTGTATTCTGATTACAGAGTTGTATTGTTGAATAGAATTGTTTCTATACTTTTGTTTGCAGATTGTATGGGTCTAATTGAATAAAAAACTGATATGTTTTATATTTTTCTTTTATCAGGACCGAGAGAGGAACATATTATGCTCTACATCTAGGGGGTACAAATTTTAGGGTCTCACGGGTTCATTTAAGTGGTCAACCATCTTCTGTCTTTGAACACGAAGTAGAACGTCAACCCATTCCCCTACATCTAATGACTAGCACAAGCGAGGTGACTTAATCAAAACACTCAAATTTTGGAGTTCTCTGGCATTTGTTTGTTCTTTTATCATAATAGAGTTTAATTGATTTTGCTGCTTGCAGGATCTCTTTGATTTTATTGCGTCTTCATTAAAGGAATTCATTTCCAAAGAAGGAGATGGTTCCAATATTTCACCGGACAGAAGGGAACTTGGATTTACATTCTCCTTTCCTGTGAAACAATTATCTGTTTCCTCTGGCATTTTAATCAAATGGACAAAAGGGTTTTCCATTGTAGATACGGTTAGTCAATTTACTTTCCAGCGGTTTCTTTGTGAAAAGCTTGTATTCATAGGGAACGTGGTGATAGGCAGCAATTCTTAGCAATTATTGTTTCATTGCTCATGAGTAAAACTTGGTCACTAACTTTAGTGCTGATTTGTGCCTGTTTAAGAATTTTTTTTTGCATAATCTAAAACAGGGTAATAATTTGATTAGTTTTATACTTCTAAAAGAAAATAACTTTTAAGCCTAAAATATTCAATTTGATGTGTAGTTTCTTGTTTTGGATTACCTTTAATATAGGTCTCACTGTCTAATAGCAGGCCAATTAGTCTTTCGAAAGGGCTATTTTTTTTTTTTTTTTCCTTTTAACAGTTGCAAAATAGATATTAAGATCCTATTAAGTTGCACTTGGTCTTTTAGTAGTAGTGATACAAATATCAAAGCCATATTAATATTTAGTGCGGAAATTATTTGTTGTCAGGTAGGAAGAGATGTTGCTGCATGTATGCAGGAAGCATTGTCACGAAAAGGCCTAGATGTGCGGGTAGCTGCCTTGGTAATGAAGAACTTTCTTTTTTTCCCCAAGCTTATGATTCGTTTTTCTTTTGTCCTCCATTTTTACCACCAAAAGTAATGTTTGTCTTATAATCACACAACTGGGATTAAGTTGTCTTGTGATTTCTGAGATCACTTCTGCCTTTAATGAATTATATGGGAAAACTTCAAACCCCCCCTCCTCTTGTAAGTTTCCGTTTCCTTAGAATCACTTACCCCCTCCCCGATATTTTGAATCATTTACACCCCTAACTTAAACTTTCTTTATCATTTACCCCCCTAAGTTATGGGGGTAAGGGTATAAATGATTCAAAATTTTGGAGAGGGAGTAAGTGATTCTAGAGGAAACTTAAAAGAGTTTTTTTTGAAGTTTTCCCAGAGGATGTGAGTTTTTTTTTTTTTTTTTTTTTAATATCAATGTCTTGTGGCATTTCCATGCTGAAGTTTTGATCAATCTAGATGTAAGAAATGGATGTGTGTTGAATAAATAGCTACTTTTGCACAAAGTCATATATTTTTTTTAACTTCTAGTTCTATATTTTCGGACTTGAGGATAAGTGGTAGTACTTGTAGAAATGGCATCTGTATACATTCTACATTCTTGTTAAGAAATTGCGTGAAGTTTTAGTTGTGTGATTTCATGTAAAATGAATCCTTTGTGTTTCGATATATTACTTGAAACATGATTTCCTGTTCATTTTATTTTAATCAGGTTAATGACACTGTTGGAACATTAGCTCTTGGGCATTATCATGATGCTGATACTGTTGCTGCAATTATTATTGGTACTGGGACAAATGCTTGCTATTTGGAACGAATTGATGCAATTATCAAGTGTCAGGGTCTTCTAACAACATCAGGACGCATGGTATTGCCCTTGCTTCTTTTCGCTTTTGTTTTCTGGTTTTGGCTTTGAACTTATTGTAACCCTTCTGTTCTTTAGGTTGTTAATATGGAATGGGGAAACTTTTGGTCATCTCACTTACCAAGAACATTGTATGACATTGAATTAGATGCTGAGAGCCCTAATCCAAATGATCAGGTTAGGTTCTGCATCTAATGACTCCTGTTGCTTGATTTGTCATGACTAAAATTTTGGAGATTTTGGTGCAGGGTTTCGAGAAAATGATATCAGGACTGTATCTTGGTGACATCGTGAGGAGAGTCATTCTCAGGATGTCAATAGAATCGGATATGTTTGGCGCTATTTCTCCCAAGCTTTCAATGCCTTTCAGACTGACGTATGTAGTGAATCTCAGTCATGCACTGTATATGCCAAGAAATACATGCTAACAACCGAAATTGAATGTATTTATTTTTTGTTTTTTAAAAACATATTATATTATTATTAACTATTGATGTGGATATCTATCTGTGTTTGTTGATTTGGTCATTTCTAAGCTGAAGATACATGAGCTACTATGATTTTTATATGATGTTAAATATTTTTTTTTAGTTCAGCTTTTGTTGTGAAACATCTTTCTTTCTGTTTTGCTAACATATGCTCCTCCATTAATTTATTTTAAAGTCTCGATTATCTGTTAATAGTTCAATTTCATTTTGATTATTTATGACCAATTTTTGTGCCTGAAACATGGTTCATCAATTCTTCTTTTCCTCTTCTTTTTCCTCCTGTTGATGGTAATAAGATTTTTTGTTTATCTATTCCTTTGCCTGAGTACATTAGGTTTATTGCTTAGGAAAGTGAATTTGCTATATAGATTAGGTGGGTGTGGAGGGATTTAATTGACCCTGGACTTGCATGGTTATAGATTTTGATCTGTTTTTGCCTTTGGCATTTATGTTAGTTCTATGATCCTTATCATTATGTTACTGTTTTGTTCCTATTGCCCTATAGCAATTCTCTGGAAATGACGTGCTTCCATTTTCTTCCCGGTTATGCTTGTATATTATCTTTGCGTAACCAAATTTAAGACATCATGAGCAGTTTCTTTGTATATTTCTGGAATATGAGATGTAAAAGGGAGAAAAATGCCCTTAATGGCTGAGAAGATATATTTCCTTGGTGGTTGGAATTTGTAAGTTGTGGTTCCATTTCTGACATGGTGTGCATATAATCAAGTCTACAATGTTCCATGCTCAATTGTTCTTTTCCAAACCTCTGGTTTGGTTTAGATATAAACTATTTCCTCATGTAACTTCAGGACTCCTTTTATGGCTGCCATGCATAAGGATAATTCTCCTGACTTGAGAGAAGTTGCAAGGATCCTTAATGAAACCTTTGAGGTAAACAACTCAGACAGACACTATATCTTTTGTACCTAAATGAGTGCTTACTAGTCTATTAATAATTTATCATGTGTTTGTGGCTTTTTTAGATTGGTGATGTTCCTTTGAAGGCAAGAAAAATTGTGGTGAAGGTGTGTGATGTGGTGACTCGTAGAGCTGCTCGGTTAGCAGCTGCTGGTATTGTTGGTATCTTGAAGAAGATTGGTAGGGATGGCAGTGGTGGCATCACAGGTGGACGGAGTAGAAGTGATATGAAAATGAAACGAACAGTGGTGGCAATTGAAGGAGGATTGTATTCTAGCTATTCATTATTCAGGGAATACTTGCGTGAAGCTTTGAACGAAATCTTGGGGGAAGATATTGCTAAGCATGTAATTCTAAAGGTCACTGAAGATGATGGATCAGGCATTGGAGCGGCACTGCTTGCTGCCTCCTATTCATTCTAAAATGTGGATAGGCTACACCTTCTATGAATATATGCATTTATAAGTATATGTGTTTGTGTATATATATAAATGTATATACATATATATATACACATACACGTATAGTCCTGTAAATCAGAATTTGTTCTCCATATTAATATCTCTCTGTATAAAGGAAGGTTTCGTCTATTCTTTGACCATGTGTTATCTTCATTTATATAATTCTTGTTATATATTTTTTTACTGAATGTTCTTTTTTTATGACATTGTTCTCTTTGGATGTATCACTATAGTGTTAGGAGTAATGACTTAAGCTTGAACTTATGGAGTCTGGTATTATGCCTCCGACATGTTTTGCCTCCAGTTTTCACCAGTAGTTTTTGAAATTATTGATTTGCGAAATTATCTTTTATTACCCTGTGACTGTGGCCGTGATAATTGATAATCCTGTGCCTAATTATTTTTCTTCTCAATATTGGAAGAGATACTTGTTGGGACGTGGATATAAAAAATATTGTATTTAATTATTTGATAAAAGCAGTTTTTTGTTTTTAAATTTGATGATTAAACAAAATTTTTAAAAGTAATTTGATTTTTTTTTTATAAAGTAAGAATTTTATGCAAATTATGGTTGTTTATTTAGTTTATAATCACTGGCACCGATCTTCGTGTGAAGAGGCATATTATTGTTCCTATGAAGTTTACATTAATGGAATTTTTTTCACAACAAATACTTATACCACTCGATATATGAAATTACAAAATAAAGAATATTGTTTGCAACATCAGCAAATAACTTTGCAGTATTACCAGAGGATATTATTGCAGAGAGAATGGTGTAGTATATTACCAGGGGATTGTTGTGTTGTGCCATGTTTTGGTTGGAATTTGTCCCAAAATAACGTTAAGACTTGAATTATACTATCATTTAATCATACAATGTTGAATTATTAAATATATTTAACAGTAAATCTTATTAAATTAAAAATACAATTATGTCAGTGATATATTAATACATAATTAAATAATAGTATAAAAAATTGAGTTTTCATTTTAATTTTTCAGATCAAATTTAAAACAAATCAATTTATTTTTGCGTTGACTTATTGGTTATGCAATCAAATCACTTTGTGCTGCTAGCATGAACTGACCTATGTTAACTTAGAAATCTCTGTAAGTTTTAATCTAAATTTTTTGAATCTATCTGGTTTAAGATGGGCCAAACGCCCAAACATGCTCTCAATAAGTTTTATTTATATCTACATCCAAAGAGTTATGTTAATCGTACAAATTTTTTATTCATGCATAAATTATTCTGGAATAGTATAGTTTTATTTTTATCACTAATATAGTTTTGTTCACAAATTTGAACACTTAACCCTCCAATTCAATGCATGATATATTTTATTTAATTAGGGAGGATATTCATAATATCACTTTTCCCATTATTACTCTATTATCTTTTTAATCACGGTTGGATCAATATTTTTCTCTAAACAATTTTTGAAGAGAAAGAAAAAAATAACTTTAATATTATAATTATATATTTCGTAGAGTACGTAATTATAGTGAATAATAATAGATGATAGTAAAAAGAAGTAATAATATGAATATCTTACCTATTATATTATGGGAACAGATTCACTTATCACCAAAAAAAGTTTACAACTCTTACAATCTATTTACTCACCGTTGATTTCCGTCAATCTAACGGTTATAATTTATTGAAAATTAATAACATTTATTGTGTCATATTTATTAATTTCTAATAAATTATAACTGTTAGATTAACAGAAATCAACGGTAATTAAATTAATTGTAAAAGTTATAAATTTTTTTGGTGGTAAGTGAATCCTCCCCTTATTTTATAAAATATAAACCTCATCTTACATAAAAGAAATTATCTCATCCTATACATCTATAAAGTTTTGTGACAATTTTTTTTTCTTTTTAAAATTATTAAACCACATATTTTTCTCATCCGCGTGAAATTACTATGTCCAATAACATAGTATTAGTAACTCCCTACAAAAATTATGGATAATAGATTTGTGTAACAACAAAAGTTTAGTCAAGTAATAATCACTAGGTTTGCTAACTTGTTTTTTCTCCGCTATGGCTTCCGAGGGTAAACCCGATACCACCGCCGCCGGTGGCAAGAAGAGAAAACGCTATCTTCCTCACAATGTCTCTGTTCTGTTCTGTGCCTTTTTTTTTTTTTTTTCTTTCGCAGTTTCTGTTATTTAGTTGCTGAGCCTGTTTTCATATTATTGTTTTTTATTTTAATTTTCAGAAGCCAGTGAAGAAAAAGGGTTCGTACCCATTGCATCCTGGTGTGCAAGGGTTTTTCATCACTTGCGATGGAGGCAGAGAGCACCAAGCCTCACGAGAAGCTCTCAATATTCTTGAATCCGTACGATACGATATTTCATTTTCTCTTATACTCCTTTATCATTATCAACGTTGTAATTCCTCTTTACTTCTCACGAAATTTATTCACTCTCTTTCATTCAGTTTCTTTCGTTTCCAATTGTAAATGTTCAAATGCCTCTTATTGCTTTCCAAGCATTCCTGACGTCACTTGTTGTTTAGCTTTTCTACTGTACTTTGCTTCTTCACTATTCACTTATCGATTAGGGTATTTCTTGGTTTAATTTGAAAATTAATTAAAAAAAAAACTAACATTAATGGTGTAACTTAGAGCAAATCATAAGTGGCTGGGGTCTGATCTATCCTTGTATGAAAAATCAATCCTTGAATTTTCACCTTCAATTTTGAGGAGATGCCAAATAACGCTTGTTGATCTAAATTTATATAAGTGCAAGTTTCCGTTAGTGCAAGCTGTTTTTTTATTCCTTTCGTTTTTTCTATTATTAGTTTAGAATATTGTTCAAAGAAGACAAAGGCTGTAGGGTAATCTTACACTTTTCGTTACCTCCTTTTCTCTTGTTCTTCAGGTGGAGTAGTTTAAGTTTGAATGTTTTATCATTTGATTAACTTTTTAAATTTGTATTTTGCATTTAGAGGAATGATATTATTTTTTTTCCTTTGCAAAACGATATCATGCTTTTTGTTTTGATTTGTCTTGCAGTTTTATGAAGAGCTAGTTCATGGAGAACATTCAAGTGTAAAAGAGTTATCCAATAGACCCTTAAATACAAAAATTACGTTTGCGGATTCTGACTCTTCTAGTAGTGGTGAAGATGATGACGATGAGGAGGTGGAGGTGCAGGAGGGAGATGAGAAAAAGGGGGACAAAAAGCCTAAATTGAATATTTCTAATGATGACAATGCAAGTCATGATAATGAATTGAATGAAACGGGTGAAAAATCAGATCCTCATAAAATCGATGATCTGCTTGCTCAGGCGGTGGATAAAGCTAGTGATAATAAAGGAGACATTGACAATCTTAAGACTATAATAAAGACAGCTGATGAGCTACCAGCTATGAAAGAGTGCTGCAAAACAAATGTGCCAACAGGTGATTTGAGTGACAAAGTGGAGCAGAAGTCTATTGATAGGTTAATTGAAGCAGAAATCAGAGAATTGGGGGACAAGAATAAGGTGACTTGATAAGACTGCTGTTCTGGATTTTATTTTATTCTGTTAGTGTTACTAATCAAAGCTTAGCTCACAGATATTCTGTTGCTTACATTTTCTGGCTTCACACAATCATTTTTGTGGCCTATCTGATGATAATAGTTCTTCTTGTAGTTCCCTACACATATGGCATATTCAGAAGCATATGCACATATTTATGCAACTAATGCTGAGGGCTTTAATCATACAAGAAGATATTAGTTCCCCTGTGTTCTTGTTTGTGCCAATTTCTTTTTTTTTTTCTTTTTTTTTTTTTTTGCACCCATTGTAATGGCATACATATTACTCTTTTTGGTTGTCTCCCTACTTGCTTAGTCTTATGCCTCCTATCCCTTTTATGACTCATGAGATGGAAAATATAATATGATATTGGAAATATTATGCTTTAGAGTTCAAATTTGCTCTGGAATACAAACCGTCTTTACTTGACTTCTTCACGAAGGATGCTTTGTGTGTGTTTTGCTAAGAGTTTTGGTTTTTCAACAGAGGCGCTTTGTCAAGCTTGATTCAGGTTGTAATGGTGTAGTATTTGTTCAAATGCGGAAGAAAGATGGAGAAAAAGGCCCCAAGGATATAGTTAATCAGATAGTGACATCAGCAGCGTCGACAAGGAAACATATGTCAAGGTATTTTTGTAGTTTCTATTCTTACAAATAAAAGAGCATGCACAGACGAAACACTGATGCAGTGTTGACTACTTCTAGGTTTATTCTGAGAATTTTGCCAATTGAAGTCACATGTTATGCTTCAAAGGAGGAAATTTCAAGAGCAATCAAGCCTCTTGTGGAACAGAACTTTCCTGTGGAAACACAAAATCCATTCAAGGTAATGCTGTGCATTAGTATCTCTCAGCTCGTATTACATTCTCTTTCGAACATGCATTCCAAACTACACAAATGCTGCCAATGTTAATATTATGAAATTAACAAAGCTGGGTAGGTATATTTTCTGTAAATTAAGCATATTTAACAATTATTCCTTTTTAATATGCTCTAAATTCTACAACCAATGAGACTCACTCACAAGCTTGCAAGAATGAGAGTACTCTTGGGAAGCTAGCCTTTCTACCTTGAAAATTCTCGAAATTCTCTATACTTAAATGTGTCTTTCATGAAGTGCACTATTAGATAACTCTGTTGTCACCGCATTCTGGAATTTTAATTTTCTTAAACATCACAAACAAATCATTCTAAGAACTTATTTTAAATCTATCTTTTTTCCAGAGGGAGGGCTAGGGGGCACAAAGGTTTATTCATTTTTGATGTCTTATGAATGAGATAACTTAACCTCCATTTGGTGCTCAGGGCTCTTAATTCAAATTTGAAATTGGAAATTGGGCCATCAAATAGTAAATTTTCACGCATGTTATGGATTTTAGAATTGGAATCCAATTCCTTACTAGTTGGCAACAACAAAATAAAAACCTTCACAACTCTGATCCCAGACCCAGAATGCAAAATTTAAGATGCACTCTGCATGTGGCTATTTAAGTTCGATGCTATTACCATACAGCTGTTTTCATCACTATCATTAATATTACCACCATGCCATCAACTGTGCCCTCTGTCGCCACCATCAGTTTTGTACTGTTTGCACTGTTGTCCCAGCTACCATTTCTCATTATCACTGCTGCTGTCTACAATATTATGGCAACAATATTTATTTATATCTATTTCAAATTTCAATTATGGCATCAATATTATATATTCGCTTTTAAAAAATCTAGTTCAATCACCTAAACAATGAAAATATATTAACATTCAAAATTGCAATTTTAACTTTGTGTATGCAATCCAAACAAAGTTTACGGTTCTGAATGACTTATCGGAATTAGTATTGATAATGTGTTAAGTACCAGAACCCAGAACCAAGAGAAACAGCTTAGATTGTATTGCTATAGTAGAATCCCAATCAGACTCAACCATCTAAGTACATGAAGTCTTGTAGAGAGGAAAATATTGCAGAATTAACATGGAAGAAAATTACATGGAATTGCTATTACAAACACAGAAAATGATAACAGAATAACTAGCTAAAGATTAAATGGAATTACAGTAAGAAAAAGTAAGATAGGTTCAGAGCAAATTCGAGACTGCTCTGAGTCTCTCCCAAGTCCTAAAATCGTCCCAATTTCCAGCCTGCTTCCTATTCTTTTCATTCTTCTATTTATACTAATCATTCTTGTGTTCCACGTGTGACTCCCCTTCATTGCCTCTAATAGAATTTCCCTTCCAGAATATTCTCCCTCATTGCCTCTAATAGAATTTCTCTTCCAGAATATTCTCCCTCTAACTGCCTTGGTGACTCAGCATGAGTGATTGATTCTCTACATTTCTTTCTAGATTGTACCTTAAGAGATGGTATCCTAACATACTGCAGTCCTGAAACTTAAATACAAATTCTGATATCGAAAAAGAGTCTAGTATTTGACCAAGATGATATATGGCGTGTGTATTATGTTCACAACAGTGGGCTGTATAAGAAAAGGAGCCTAATTTCAAGCATTCTGGAAAGCTGATTTCATTGACGTAGATTTGCTCAGTTATATATATTATCTTTTGTCTAATTTGTCCTACAAGAAACAAATGTTGTTAACAAAGTTTATGCTCAGTTCTTTCTAAGACTGGAATCCTTTTGTCTGTAGCTTCACAAGTTTTTTCGTGTGCAGTTTGCTGTACTGTATGAAGCCCGGGCAAATACTGGTGTTGACAGGATGGAAATCATCGATGCTGTGGCAAAATCAGTTCCTGGACCCCATAAAGTTGATCTCAACAATCCTGATAAAACCATAGTAGTTGAAATTGCCAGGGTAAGAAATCCGTGGTCTGGCTGAAATATAATTTAAATTGTATGTTATGTCTGCTTATCTTGTACTCATCAAGTCATTTTTTTTTCCCTCTAGCACTGCAATCTTGTGAAGTGCACTTCTTGATGTGGCAGATTATTTTCCTTCATTTATCTTTTTAAATTGACTGCAGTTATATTTACTTCCTTGATTGTCCCCAGCAAATATTCCGCTTGGCGTTTCTGTGAAATCTATGCATTTTAATTGCTTTCCTTAAAAGCTCTTTTTTAAATTGCTATTAGAGAAACAAATTTGTCTAAAAGTATGTTTTATACTTGTACTTTCGCTTTGCTGTAGAACCACCAACTTCTTGCTGCTCTTCAACGGCAGATTTTCTGATTTTTTTTTATTTTTTTTATTTTTTTTATTTTTATAAAATAGCAATTATAAAGAAGCAAATTTGTCAAAAAATATACTATTTTTGTTTTGTTGTAGAGCCATTAATTTCTTGCTTCTCTTCAACGGCAGATTTCTGATTTTGCCTTTTTGGTATCACCTAAAAGCAGTTCATAAAGTTTGGCCATACAACTTGAAAGATTATAAGTGCATTACTCCTGTAAACCCTGAACATGCTGTACCATGTTTGGAATCAACACTTCCACAGTGCTTTAGTTTTTGCAACATAATATGTAATTTTCTATATTTTGTATTAGTTTAGCGTAGAACTAATACATCCTCTTTTGCTTGGCAGACTGTGTGCTTGATCGGGATCATTGAGAAATATAAGGAATTTTCCAAGTACAATTTGAGGCAGTTAACATCACGTAAAGTCTGAGCCTTCCAGACAGCCTATAGTATACTTGTCGTTTTTGCGAAATTTTACTTACTCGCTTAACGTATTTATACTTGGCTTTAGTTTTGACTGCTGCTGATACTGGTCTCTCTGGCAGTTTGTCGTTTTGGAAAATAGTTTCTAGATAACTCTTGCAGAAAGTCCTTTGAATGTAGTTCTCACTCACTGATCGAAATCAGAAATTCTGATGCACTATAAGATTAATAAAAATATTAATGTGGATTTAAAATATTATGTAATAAATTTTAAATTAAATTTCAACCATTGTAATCTTAGATTTTCTACCTGATTTATGATGCTATGAAAATTGAAGTGTCCAGCCTGCTGAATCCTGTAGTAGCATTAATACCTAACTTCGATCATGACCATGATTAAGATAGGTTGACGCTGACAGTCAAATATAGGAGTCTTCATATTGGCTTAGTTATTAATCATAGATTATCAGGGACTTAGGGTTATAAAATTAAAATGCCGGTGTGCCACATATTATGTGGATTTGAAATATTATTGGATACTCACCAAAAAAAAAATAAAAAATATTATTTGATAAATTGAGTTCAAGGTGCTGGGTATATGATCTTAATCCAGGTTTCACACGTCGAAATGGAAATTCTAATGCACCACTAGATTGATATGTGGATTTAAAATATGATTTAATAAATTTTAAATTAATATCTTCGAATTTTTCCTTGGTATGCTATGGAAATTGAAATACTATGTGCGCAACATCCGTTGGGATTAACTCCTACATCGTTATAACTTCTATGTTCTATCATCTTGGCTAAAGATTGGCATAATGAATTTCTCCTTGTTATGCTATGAAAATTGAAATGCCGATGTGCCCCAACAACACATCCTTTGCCTTTTGACGTTATCCCAAGTTAAAAATACTCCCACATGTCTACCAAAAAAAAAAAAAAATACTCCTAAGTTTTTAATCACAAATAAGAGAATTATGCTCTGAAAAGTGAAGACTTCTAATGCCGATGTGCCACTATTATTATGTGAAATATTATTTAATAAATTTCAAATGTCCAAGACAAGACCATGAAAGGATGATTGTGAAAGTGACCATTACCTGGCTAGTTTGCTCAGCAACATCCTAGTTTACTAACTAGCCAGCACAGTGGGGGGACCGGCGTGCTCCCCTTACGTAAATCAAAATTATATCTGAAAATTTCTCCATGGTTAAAAAAATATATCTGAAATGCCAGTTTGTCCAACCTAAATCAAAATTGTTCCTAAATATTCGTAAAATTTGATACTAGTTCAATTTCGTTTTGTATTTCATCGCAATTTTCTTAAAACTGAAATATATCAAGTAAATAAAATTATCAACTATTATTAAATGATGTCAATATAGAAACCTTTTTAATTTTTTTTGAAATTTGGTACGCAAGAATTTTTTAAATTAGATACCATTTAATTGATAATAATTATGTTTGAAATTATTAAGTGATGCAATGTAAATGAGTGTATACCATAGTAATTAAAGGGAAAAAAAAAAAACAACTAAATTGTTGAATCTAGTAGCTTGTACAAAGGATGGAGGCTCCCACAAGCGCCCCCAAAGAGAAAATTGAAAATTGAAAAAGCAAAGAATGGAACACTCGGAAAAAAAAAAAAAATCTCTCATCCCTCTCTTCTCCAAAGCAGACAAAGAAGACTCGAACCAAATTAAGGAACTCCCAGATCAAGATCAAGGCTAAGCACTAAGCACTCGGAGATTTGTACAACTTCTCCACCATCTTCCTGTAATCTGTACAACATAGCAAAAATCACTTTATAAAATCTCTTTCGGAGTGCATAAATTTACAAATCCTCTGCTAAGTATTAAGAATGTTTGTTTGTTTACCTTCTTGATTGTTCCAAAGCTGTGCTGCTTGTGTATTTAGCGGTGAGCTAATGTTTGGCTCTAAATTATGTAAAACATACAAGAAGAAAGAAAAACAATGTTAAGGCATGTCATATTTATTACAAGGAAACAATTTTAAAACAAAAATCATTGTGTTTTGGCTTTCAAAGTTACCTCCCAGCAGGCTTTGGATTGATAGAAGAATTGTTCTGACATCATAAGCAGATGACCATTTATCCTATATAAAATAAAGAACATGAATATGCATCATGCAATTGGATGAATATTACTACTGTTCAGAATGACATAACACAAGACAACACAAGGCATTATATTATTACCTGAAGAATGTCCAAGCATATATTGCCATGCACATCTACATTGGGATGAAAGCAAGTGGTTTCAAACTTGACCTTTGGTGGCTTAAAAGGGTAATCATTGGGAAAGGAAAGGGATAACTTGTACTCAGTTCCTTCAAACACAGTATCTTTGCTTCCTGTTATTGTTCCTTTCCAACAGAATATGTTATCCTCCTCAGGGAAGGCAGATATACCAGAATCTCCACCCATCTGAAAACCCCCAAAGATTCAATCAAAGAAAGATAAACCCTATTAATTAATTAATATCTTTTCCAAATGAGAGATCTATACAACTACAAATTACTCTCTCTATTATATATAAAATTAGAAAAACTGCCTCAAAGATAGAAAGAGACAATGATTGATTGATTGATTGATTGATTGGGGGGATATTGTTCTTACCATCAAAGCCATCAATTCAGACTGCAACCTGAGGCAGAGCAGAAGCCACAAAAACAAAACAAGAAAGGAGTTAAGTTAGAAACAAATGCCCCAACGATCTTTTAAACCATCTATATATATAATTTTAAAAAATGCGTGAGTGAAAGTATAATCAAGAAAAAGATCCATTAAGAATTTGATTTCTTGTGGGAAACACAGAAAACAAGAAGAAACTGTGAGCGATGATGAATCATTAGAAAATACAAACCTTCTGAGAACAGAGTGAGAATCAACGGTCTTTGCCTGGGGGAGAGACTGCTTTGCTGAAGCGATGTTGTCTTGAGCACCTTCGGTTTGCGCAGCATTGATGGTAGCCATAACAGTAATAGTAATAGTAATAGAGAGAGAGAGAGAGATTAGAAGAGAGAGAGGTTGCTTATGCTTATTGCTTAATCTTTCTTTGTTTTCTTTTCTTTTCTTTGCTGAAGGAAGGAAGAAGCTATGTGGTATAGAATTGAGAGATTAGAAGAGCAAGAAAGTGTTGTTCTGTCGTTTGACTTTATAAGGATTTGCGGTTTCAAATAATTTGAACGTTGCAATTGCAAGGGACAGCCACCCACAAAACTTTACCAACCCACAACGGCTAGTAATAGGGTTGGAACTTGTAACTTGTTAGGAGCGCTCTCTTTGTGTCGGATCAAATTTTTTTTTTTTTTCTACCTTGGTTATATTCTCTTCAAATAATTTTTAAAAAAGTATTGAATAAAGAATATATTTAATATCTTAACAATATAAAAAGTATTTACTATTTGTATTTAATAATTAAGGAAATTTATAATTATTCTAAATATGATCAAGAAATAAATCTCATATTAGTAAGTCTTGATTCCCATTGATTAAAAATTATTTCAAAATTTAACTTATCGTAAAATTATAAAAGAAAAATACTGAATGAATTGTAACAGTTAAGAAATTAATAATATAACAAAAGCATAATCTTATTAATCAATTTAAAATATTTTGAAATCGAATCCCCCATTGATTTAAGATTGAAACACTTTAGGAAAGATTGATTTAAATAAATTAAAAAGTTTGAATAAAAAGTATGATAAATTTGGCAAAACCAACAAAAGTAAGGCATGTTTAAAAAATTATTATCCAATTCATACATATTTAAACATGTTTCCTCAAATAATGTAATTAATTGCGTATGAAGTATATGGAAATGCACAAAAGTCAAGCGGCGCAACCCAAGTGCTCATATGCAACTAATAGGATCGTAATCGTACCATGTCTCAAAGTTTAATGTTACTCGGATATCTATCTCCCACTCCATATAAATATTATTTAACGTTATAAATAATAATTAATATATAATAATTACTATAATAAAAAATATAATTTTATTATTTTAAAAATTACATTAAATTCGTCTGATCAAATAATAATTAATATTATAAATTATTCTATGTCAGATTTTTTGAGTCCTTATTAAATTTTCTATTATCAATTATGATTTTATAATTGGATAATAATTTTATGTTATTTTATGTTATTTTGTAAAAATTTAGCATGATTTTGTAATAAAGGTACTGTTTCAATTTTTTTGAAAAATCAATGATTATATAAAATAATATGTATAGAATAACAGGTTTACATTTATGGAGCAGGTTATATTTGTAAACTTTTTTGCTTACCAACTACATTACCTTCTCCCGGAAGAACACTAATTACACTATATTCTCCCGGAAGAAAATAATATAATTTGTAAAAATTTATAAAAAAAGTTTGTAAACGGATCCTTCCTCTACATTTATAAGATTCTAAAATTCGCTTGAGATTTATTTACTACATCAATTATTATATAATAGTTTTTATTTATTACATATATTAATATTATAGTAGGTTATATTTACAAATATTTTATTTATACACTCTTACAAATTGGATACTTAAAATGTATCATTTCGCTCTATAAGCTTAGCATAAGAACATATCAATCAAGTGTGACATTGATTGATTGAAAAGTCAATCGAGAAAAGAATAATATAATAAAATTAAGAAATGTCGAAAAAAATTAGGCTTTGCGCCTTTCACCCTTATTTATAGAAAAAAAATATTAATTATACTTTAATCGATTATATTGATCCAACAATTACATTAAATATGAAAAATCATAATCATGTAAAGATGAAAATAAATATAAAATATTAAATATGAGAAATTAGAGAAAAATGTTTGTTTTTTTTTTTATAATAAATGTTTGTCATTTTAAATGACATAAAGTTATGTCATTTCAGGAGAGGGATAGACACAAAATAAATTTTTCTATTTAAAATTTTAAAAAAAAACCATCCACTTTCTCTCTTCCGTGGTTTTCATTTTTTGTGTCTATCTCTCTCCTAAAATGACATAACTTATGTCATTTAAAATGATAAACATCAAACCCGAGTAATTATAATTATACAAAGATAAAAATAAATATAACCGTTGGATCAACATAATTGATTTACAGGTAAAATTGATTGGTAGTAACATTGATAATAACATTAATTGGTTATTACAATATCCTATCACATAAAAATATATAGTCAAATAAAAATAATTAATTATTATACTAATTGATTGTTGTAATATCCGGGCGATATATTAATGCATTAATTTTTTTCCATTCACCGTGAACTATTCAATAGGCAGTGTGTGATGAAGGGTTGTTTGTAAAAGGACAATATATGTAGCGAGAGACAGAAAACGCGATTTGCAGGTGCACCGTTTCCATGTTGAAGTATCAGAGTATGACGTGAGATCAGGTGACATTTCAGCCTTACGATCGAGAGAAGTATCTCTGTATCTGTATCAACGCTGGACTGGTTTCCCAATATTCGTACCAGATTTTTAAATATTTCTTTATCTCTGGATCAATTACGGAATTGCAGAATCCCTGCCTGATCAATTAGGGTTTGGAATTCTTTAGAGTTTGAAACTAGAAGAGTTTCTGTTTCAGAGTCTTTGTAACACAAAGTGTAAAATTTAAATTTTATTATGTTGTGCTGCGTTGGTCACGGGTCACACGGTCTAGGGAAAAAAAGCAACAGTGATATTGATTTTAGAATGTAACTTGTTAATCTTCAAAAAGAAAGAAAGAATGGAACTTGTTATTAGAATATGCTTTCTTCCCGCCAGACATAGACATCTACATGATTCACATCAACATTACGTGAAAAGGAGAAAAAATTTGAGCTCGGCTGCTTAATTCTCATTAGGTATCATGAACTCTTCAAAGCTGATAAAGCTTCCTTTGTCGCCGATGAAATTACAGCATCTGAAGCATTTGGCAAATAATAATACTTCCCTGCAGTATAAATGTTTTTTATGAACAATATCTTTAATTTCAGAAACGAAATACATTGATTCAGTAAAATTGTAGTACACTAACCTTGGGCAACTCTAGCAATCTCCTTGGCGAAACCCGTTGAGACAAACTTATTTTCAGTGTCGATGACAAGCAGGGACATTCCTGCTTTATATATCTTCCCAGCCACCTCAAGAATTTCATCCTTTATTAAAACACAGTTAACAGTTAGTTCACAGTGAAACAAGTTGGAACTGAACATGTAATATGTAAATCCTGCCAATTTATACAGATTTCAAAAGACCATGAACGGAAATGCTTACCAAAAGAATTTAAAGATAAAAAAATAACGCATGATTTTTGGTCTTATAAAAAAGGAGATAAGAAAACAAATGAACAAAATGTATAGCCTCTATCTGTCATGTTAACAATCCTCCCCACGTTTATTACTAAGTGGTAAAAATAGAAAATGAAACCTCAAAGGAATGATGTAAATGTATACTAATTAGTAATTACTATTAGAAGGAGTACTACCAGTCTTGAATTTAATATAAATGGATTCCAAAGAGCGCTGAGTATAACATGTTCTCCTAGAACTTTTGCTGTCAGAAAATTGGCCTCCATATGCCATTGGGAATTTGTCTGAGGGTACCCATACGCCTGATCCTTGATGAGGATGCAGGTTCAAACTAACGTCCCCTCCCCTACTAACCCTTCCCTCGTGCTCTAATCGCTAACCCTCATGTAAGGTTTAGATAACATAAAAATGACATTTGAGGTTTAGATTCTCATTTCTCTGGTTACTAAGGAGATGGTTCATGTCATTTGGAAGTCAATACGCGTCCAATTACAAAGCTTATCAGTACCTTCAATTCTTGCACTGAAGGTTTAGGGGTGTCCGCAGCGGCAACAGCTTCAGGGTCAGTTGACCTTTTCAATGATATATTGGCTCTGCCATCAGTGATTGCAACAATCATTATACGTCCAACATCACCACTTTTCTCTGCATTTAATCCAACCCTAACAGCCTAAATATTTTCATGAAAAAATAAATAATAAGCTTAAGAAGATTTAGCTAAACCAATTACAGTGTGATAACCAGAAATAATTTAGGGACAAAAGTCCATATTTGACACATGAAAGACGAAACTAGTATCAGGATGAATTTTATATGAATTTATACAACAATTCTTAATCAGAGAATACTACATCTTCAAAGATCGAAACTAACATTCTCCATCTCTCTTCTGCTTTGAGTCTATGGTCATTGTCATTTTCGTATAACTGGTAATGTCTTTAAAAATGTCAACGGTTGGAAATCCTTTGAAATATTAAAAACAGGTCCAGAGTAATATAAATAGCAGAGAATAGTTTTCTAAATTTGACCGCAGTAAAATTTCTGTTTGTTTAAACATGTTACCGTACTAAGCATGAAAGAGATGTAAAAGATCTGCTTACCGTGGTAAGACCATGAGCAAGGGGGGACCCTCCACCACATGGAAGCCTTTCAAGACGTTTCCTTGCCATCGCAATTGATCTAGAAGGTGGCAGGAGAACTTCAGCTGAATCTCCACGAAATGGAATTATAGATACCTGTTTAATAAGAACAGTAATTATTAGTAATAAAATTATTCAGACAGCATCATAAAAATGAATCGTGTTTACTGTTTAGTCCAGCATATCATCAGCTATCCTCTAATGTGTCTAGATTTATCAGCACATGATGAATCATATAAGCAAATCAAATTAATTGTTCCATTCTAAAACAGTGATTCTGGTTCAAGGATTTGTAATTGTACCAATATAAATATCATGGTTGTATCTGTAACCAGCTATGCACAATTAACCCTGAAAATAACTAGTACCAATCCATGGACACCCAAGGAAGTAAAGAATAGTTATAATTTATAAACTGCTTGAGTTTTCGTTATTATAGTGACAGAGTGGATCCTCTCGTGGGAAATTTTATATTTTATGCCAATCTCTCTCCTTACAAGCACTAAAATGGTGGGCCCTATCATATTTGTGAATATATATGGAGATAGACACAAAATTCTCACATAACCAGATCATGTGAAATTTACACGAGAGGATCA